ATTCCTTATAGATCACAATTTAGTAAGTCTGAATTCCATGGGTAACAGACATAATGAATTATGACATTATATCATAATTTATGCAAAAGGACTTATTAACAATATGAAGTTTCCTTAGTATATTTTAGACAAAATAAGACTGTGCTTATATGAATGTTAGAGATATTAGATCACATAAGAATTACACAGTAATTAAATTAAACCATATAATCATGGTTAAATGCAAAGATGACCTTCATAGGAAATGTAAACAAAACAAAGACAAACTTACCAGAATTATCCAATTATATGCCCAATTAAATAATCCAGTGAAACAACATCTTAGCTGATCCTGAAAAAAAAGCATACAATATTCAGTGATACACAAATTAACCTCATTTTACAAAGGAAGTAAAGCAACAATTGACAGACAAACAGGACAGAAATGTAAAAGATACCATATGTATTTTACCAAAATTTAGTAAACATTTTTTCTGATTTAAATTCAATCACAGAATGACCCATCATAGTAATATTAAATACACTCTGGGTTACATGCAAATTATACCTTACATGAACTGAGAATAAATACCCCATTTACATTCATATAAACTGAATTTTACATAACTAATTACTCTTTTAACTGATGTCACCATTAGTATGTCAGAATATTCAGGGTGTACAAATCATGCATATTCACTTTTAAAGTACTCAATATATATTTTACATGTTGATGTTTGAAATCACTGACTAAATAAAATACATACATGTATATACATGAAGGTTTAAAAAAAAAAGGGGGGGGGGGCACACATGTTTATAGATTTACAGAGATGCTCAGACTGAGTTTTTCCCACTTTCATTGGGCCACTGTTGCACCAGAATGTAAAAATATGAGTGACAAATAAGGCAAAAGATTCTGTATATTTCATTAAAAAAGATTTGAGACAAAAGATTCATTGGCATAATATGATCTGATTGATTATCTCCATATCCTTCTTTTGGTCACTGTGATTAAAGATTCATAGAAATATTAGAAATAACAACTGAGAATATCACTTTAGTTGTTTTAAAAGCATGTATCAGTATTTTATAAGATATGCTAGGAGTCTCCTCATAAGAATATTTAGAATACTGATCCAATAAAAGGAATGTGAGACAATATGATCATAACTCATGCAAAAAAGATTTATCAACATTTTAAGGATCTTTTAGTGTCCTAGTGTATTTCAGGGTAAACAATGGCAGTGTTTATATGAATGTTCTAAACATAAGGTATATAACACAGTAATAATGAATAAATACAAAGATGACCTTCATAGAAAATGTATAAAGAAAAGTTTGTTAAAACTTACCATGTAACCAGGTAACTCAGTAGAGTAATATTCATTAAATAATCCAGTGAAATAACATCTAGGCTGATCCAGGATTCAGCTGTTCAGAACTTTCTTGGAAGAAAAACGGTAGAAAATCAGTTTTGGTACTGAAATCCATAGGACCATACTGTTATTACATGAAGTCTCAAGCGCTGTGAAAGTCTGTGTTATTGTGTCAAAATAAGCAGCCATCGCGGCTTGTGAAGGACTAACATGACGTCGCTGCCAAGTTTATGACGTCACAATGCATAGGTAAGTCTATGGTATGTTTTGCACACGGCCCCCTTACAGATGATGCAACAGGTATAAAAACGCAGGTAAAACGTATTGATGCACAGGGCCCTTACAGTAAAGGTATATAAACCATGTGTGTTTTTGTAATTGTTTTCAGTAAAAAATCCAGGTTTTTATTGTTTTGAGGAAATCAGTTTGAACCGATTAGGCTAGGCTGGGTAGACTGTGAAGCGTGACGTTATAATTAAATTCTTGAGTCGCTGACAAAATCGTAGTAGCAGCGTATAGTATATAATGTAAACACAGTGTAAACACCCCCGTATTTAGGGGGCTATATGTACTGAATTGACCCGGCTATCCCCCACAGACCCCTAATCTGCACTCCCTTGACCCACCTATCCCCCAGGGGCTGCACTCCATTGACCCGGCTATCCCCCCAGGGGCTGCACTCCCTTGACCCGGCTATCCCCCAGACCCCCAATCTGCACTCCCTTGACCCAGCTATCCCCCCAGACCCCCCAATCTGCACTCCCTTGACCCGCCTATCCCCCAGCCAATCAGAATCCAGCATTTTTGACCTCATTTGCATAAAAAGTGCACTCAGTTGACCCGCCTATCTAGACCCCTTATACTACTTAGTGACAAGGTTTTGTACATGTAAATAGTGAGGCCATTCTCCTACTAGCACTAGCTAGTGGGTTAACCAATCAGAATCCAGCATTTTTGACCTCATTTGCATAAAAAGTCAAAATTAAGAAATTATAGGTATAAACATGTAATTACAATTTGATATAAATGATTATTTTACCGATTTTGCAATTAATAGGTAGGTTGACGTCGCTGCAGTGTCTTTTTGACGTTATGTTAATCTGTAGCTCTTCAAGAAAGGGTTGATAAAAATATTATTAAAGAAAAAGTAATAAACATACGCTCTTGAAATTTAAAACATAGAAATTTGAGAATATCTCCAATATTTTTATTATGTTTTTTTGTGAATCCATTGTTTACGTCATATTTTTTAGTACTCTATAAAAATAGTAAAGTTTGCTAATTTTTGCATTTTGAGACGCCTCCTCTGTTAACAAGACGGTAGAATTTTGTGTTTCTTATATATATTGTATAATATAGTATTACTCATAAAATATTATAGTTTGAACAAAATGTCTATTGTAGTATTTGTATAATTTGCTTTAAAGTGCTAAAAATTGGCATTTTCCTATATAATCCTATAGTAAATGTACCTGTATTTTGAGACGGTCCCTCAAAAATACCTGGACGGTAGATTTCCCCCAAACTTTGCATGTAACTTAAGTTAATGTAAGTTATATGTGGTATAAAAATGAAGAGTTTCGCTATTGTTGTTTTCACACAATAAAACTATAGTCGGCCCCCTGAAGTCTAATACCCTATTCATACGACGAAAATTTGCCAATGTGTGCAAATTTACATATGAGTAAATATACACACGTAAGTAAAAGTTAATTTGCTAAGCGTTCAGACGAGATTTATGTACTGTACGTAAATCCTTATATTTTCATATAAAATAAGGAGATCCACAGATTCAGAATTGTGGATTTTTATAGAAAAAGGTTATTTTCTTACTATTTGGGTATAAGACTAACTTTTGAATGTTCCTCAAAGAAAGTAGGGGGAAATCAGATCCATTTATTTTTTGGTACGAAAAAAAGCGAAATCAACTTAATAACTTTTAGGAAAAATTTATATACGAAAAAAGGAAAATAAATTAAAATCATTGTTTAAGATTGGAAAATGCTTAAACTTGGCCTCGGTCCCAAAGACTATAAAAGAGCCGTTAATTGGGTGTTAAGAAATAGATGGCTGTTGCCATCTACTGAATGGCGTCTTCAGCAGAATAAAGTGCGACTGGAAATCTTTTGGGTGTTTGGAAATCTACAGTACATCAAGTTTGCGAAGTCATTATGAAATTTCTGCTTGAATATTATATGTATTTTCCTGGAGAATGAAATGGGCAGTCGGTTAAAAAAAATCAAACAAAACAAATTCACGTATATGAATAGGAAATAAACATGAATCCTCTAGAAAATCATGGTGGAATCGGGTGCCAAGGATCGAGAATGCTTAAAAATGCTTATTTTCAACAGGGTTGTTGAAATTCTTGTAGCATCAATTTATATGTCAGTAGCTTGCCTTGGTTTAAAAACAAAGAAAGGTAGAAGAAAGTCAATATGTAATGGGGATCGGGCGATTGATGTAATGCCTATTCCTATCACAGTTCCGGAGCATTCCCATGAAGACTACTTGAATTATAAGGGGACTACTTATTGATCCTACAGGGCACATGTTTGCGCGACCACAGCTATATTTATATAATTTAGAGGCATTAGTTTACATAGGTTTGCCTAGAAAGAGTGCAAGATGCGCACGTTTTTGCAAATTCAAATTTATCTCAGGGGAGACTGGAGATATTGGATCCTTGTTTTCAGAGTTGAAAAAGACATTTGTGGAAAGAACTATGCAAGAACAATCCAGCGTATCCTTATGCAAGAACAATCCAGCGTATCCTTTATCCTTGAAGTACAGCAAAGATGACCATAAAAAAAGTTTTTTTTTATGTTTTGCTTTTTAGCCGCCATGATAACAGACTGATATTATATACACAACAATGCATAAACAACCGAAACAACACTTAAAATGGAGATTTATGCAATAAACAAAACAAAATACATACATAAGTAAATTTACTGCGTGTTCATACGACCAAATTTACACACATGAACTAATAATTTGCGACAACATGTATGCAAAAGTTAATTTGCACCTAGTCCTGACCAGGTGTAAATTTACTCAACTGTGCAGAATTTACATGTGAGCAAATCAGTTCATACGACAAAAATTGCACATGTGAGTAAATTTACATATGAGTAAAATATACTGATGTATGCAAATCATGTCGTATGAATGGGGTATAAGTCTGTTTCATGATCCTGGGGCAAGGTGTTTCATGCGTTTTAAAGAACTCTATGTTATACAGAAGGATAAAGATAGTCTTAAGATATTACATGTAATCAAATATGTAAATGAAATTTATCTAGACAAAATTTGTACAAATATTATAGTAACATTGCTATGACTTTTATATAAATGCAAGTCATTTTCAAATAAACTTACAATAATTTGCTCTGTAACTATAGAATTTAATTTTTTTTAACAGATAAGGATATTGATCTATCATTTACAGTTTTATTATCTTCACAATTCCATAGTGACCTTCAGCAACGAGCAAATTATCTCTATTGTCTGTACTAAGATAAAACGGAGCTTGTAATTTACAATTTGAAATGACGAAGAGGAACTTTCCGTCCCGATCAATGATATGTATAACACGATTGATTTGGTCAGCTATCAAAATATGGCACATGCGGTTTGTAGCTAAAGTACGTGGTGCAAATCTTGCATACCTCTTTGACTGGAGGTTTCCATCATATAGCTGAATCTAAATTTACCATTTTTATCTACAATGACCACCTTTCCTACATCATAGTCACTCACTATGATATCAAAGTTTTTGTTTTCTTCGATACAGAATGGATTACTGTATAGAGCTTTTCCTTCACTATTATTTTGTATATCTTGTGTGGCTGTACTGTCAACATAACGGACTACTTTACTTTGTCCGCTGTTTGAAGATTTCATAGCAACTAGTAAACCCTCAATGGAGGATGAGCATAGAGCCAGTGGTGTCCATTCCTGCAGAGAAATAAGGCACCCTATTTCGCCTCTCTTCATTATTATATTTATGTATTTAGACAGTTTGTCAATGTACACTAAATATCCCTCTTTGGTTACTGCCAGGTCATATAGATCAGTTCCTGACATTGTGGGAATCTTATCCAGCAACTTCTCATCTGTGTTCATTTGTTTGATGATAGGTTTGTCACCCATGACATAGAACTGGTTTTTATTTGGAATACACTTAACTCTGCATGTTTCGTTATAACCGGTAGACACAGTTCCTATTATTTCAGGATTGAATGTTCTGTCTTGTGCTGGTATAATAGATTCGATTGTTATTGGTATATCAGCTATCATTGGCAAAATTTTATCTTTAGCATGTTCAATTTGCATAAGATTTGGCACTTTTCGATCGGACAAAGAAGAACTACAAACTTGCATTTTACAATTTTCAACCTGATGGAATTTGCACTTGGCTGGTACGTTTTCTGAATCTTTATATGCAAAAGACACGACTTCATGTTTAGTTTCTGATTTGGAAACGACATGATGACCAACACAATCTGTACAGAGATGGGAGATGACAGGAGTTGCAATTAGTTTGGGCTGCAGTTTTCCTGTATTTTCCAACACAAAGCTGGCATCGTTTTAGATCTTGTGCCCTAGCAAATGGATCTTTGGATGTGGCCATGACCCTTAAGAATTTTTATTTGTAATTGTAGAATAAAAACGTTATTTTTGTTTTTAATCGAAATTTAATCTGACACAAACAAATTTATATAACAGAAAAAAAGTTTCATTAGAAATCATGGAATAACATTATTTTAATTTCTTACCCTCTGGCGATTTTATTTCAAAACAAATATGGCTGCACAGTTGCACTTTTAAGATACCACAGGTTCCAATCATACATGCATTTTGCATATGAAAATACTTTTTTAGTCCGAGACATTTAAAATCCATATTGAAAAACCCTCACACAATGCATCAATTTAAACTAGTGCTAATTGTAACGGGGACCGTTACAGATGTTCCCCAAACGCTCCCCAACTACCTTTTGGTGCCATATTCCCTGTAAGCTTCATTAAATAAGACAAACTCTATGCATCTAAGATTTTAACTACATTTACAAAGAAGTGTACAAAAATCATTTAAACTTTAGCATTGCACACGTGCACATGTGAATGCATTTGCGTCATGACCATATCATTTTGTCTACACAATCTATATTTTTAATACACTGAATATTAGTGTATTTAATCCAAAATTATTTAAAAAATACGCTCATTCAATTGTATGTTTGATTTTACTCATTTCACGTGCATGCATGAGCATGGTGACCATACCTTCTTGTAGAAGTCCATTACATCTATCTATGTTCTAAATTCCACCCCGTTTTGGTGAAAACTAAGGGAGTTATAGCTGTTTAAAGTTTCAGCCAATCAGATTGCAGCACATGTACACGCATGTGTATGCATGTGCATGGTGACCATACCTACTTGTAGAAGTCCATTATATCTATCTATGTTCCAAATCCCATCCTGTTTGGTTGAAAAACAAGGGAGTTATAGCTGTTTTAAGT